TCTTAGATAATTATTTTGCGTTGAATAACAATGAAAAATGCACGAGCAGGTTTGTAAGAAATAAAAATCCTTTATTTTATCCAAATCTCAAAGTTATTTACTGGTATTGAAATATTGTCTTCTTGTACTCATCATTAAATTTAGACCATTGTAGAAACATTGCAATATTGAACTTTATATTCAGCATCTACATTTGTATTAAATTTTTATATATTCGTTATAAGTTTTGCATATACTTGTCTTGATAACAAATCCTCGTTTCTTTCAAAATTTCTTCATAGAAATAAGAAGATATGGTATGAGTGCCAATGAGACAACTCTCCATCCAGGTCATAATGTGTCAAAAGTAAACAATTATAGATCAAAGTACGGCCTTCAACACGGAGCCTTGGCTCACACTGAACAGCAAGCTATAAAGGGTCCCAAAATGATATCCTACATTGTATATATCTTTCCGATCGTTGAATTTTTTTGCACTATATTGAAATAGGATTATAGCAAACGTATTTAGAAATCGTAACCATGCTAACTGGAACTCAAAAGATCGTATTATTTGATATACTGCCCCAAACAATATAGTCACAATGTAACTGAAATATTGGCAACTATCCCCCGGAAGAGAGGCAACATAAAAGCCATATCATTGTGCATTTACCCTGTCTATATGTTTATCTTTAAAAACAAATACGTAAAAACATACTCTGTTATCAACAAATCAAAATCCAGGATACCTATATGAGGTGTAATGATAATAAACAATCCATGTATATTTAAATAGTTGCGGATAATGAGTGAGTTTATTGCAATTCTGATATATTTCGAACAAGGCCATTAACGCACCAGTTTTTACCTGAAACTAGATTGTCAGTGGATCGTTACGTCTAAAAACACGCTTCAATATATTAGTATTGGCAGCTCTTAACCCATTGGTTAAACTAAATTCACTTTTCTATTAAAATAAAAATATTTTAAAACTAAAATAACTCATAACATGTATAATGAACTTACACTCAAAAGTAAGGTACACTGTAGTTATGACACTTAAATTTCCAGTATCAACCTGTAGATAAGAAGTCGAGTCTGTATTTGTCAAAGTTATACAAGATGATCTGTTTCCATCAATTGATAAATTTGCAGAGAGACTTGAATCAGAAAGGTTCTGTTTTGCTATTCCGTGATAGGCTAGATTGTCTGTAAATAAATATTGTAGCGATTATAAAAAGTTCTATAATAAATTATTCCAGTGGATCATAAGCGAAGCTCCAACCGATTCCAATAGCACGTTACGCAGTTTAAGTTCGCTTGCCAAACAATGTGGTCTGTAAGAATGATACAATCTTTTGAAAAACTACGTAAAATCAAAATTCTTATCATCAAGCACACAGTTCGGAGAGATACTCAAAAGTGTTTTTTGTAATTCACATGTTTAAAACAAGTTATATCCTTATTGAAAACAGTTGCATTATGCATTTTGTATTTGTCAGACAGTCAAAACGGACTCAACCTGTCTTTCCTTAGTTTTTTGAAACTGTTCCTACCCCCTAGAAAAATAAGAAGTCGATAGTCTATCTGGGATAGTCTACCTGTTTAACTGTACTCACTTTATCTATATATAACATGATACTTATTTATTATAAGGTTAAATCCTAACGATCCTACTGCCTGTCGATACATTTATTTTGGCATTGCACAAGTCATGTCTTCTTTGACTGTCCATGGCGTTAACACTTAATCCCTGGGATGTGTTTTAATTGATTTTAGTTTCTGATGCATGATTTTTTATTATTAATTGTTTTTGGCTTTTATCTAGCTTTCAGTAACTGCGAGTACTCTCAAATCGTACTTTCGTGTTAATTTGACCTGTTGACACAATTTGTAATGCATTTCTGTAATTCAATGTTTTCTTATTTTGTGTTATATCTCGTCTCACTATTTATATATATAACACCTTTGATAAGTATTTAGTATGACGATAAATTTTCACTTCTGTACTCGTACTGTAAACAACAAATTTATTAGTTTTGTAAAATATGTTTACTTCTGTACTCCTAACAACAAAATTGTTATATTTAGATTTGCCTGTGTACGTTGTTTTATTTACCGCCATTTTGTCCCAAGTTGTCTTTTTGACTCTGTTCCTACATCTTTTTTGTTGATGTTGATATATTGTGTCATATATCAGGCTTGTTCGTTTGGTGTATGTTTGCTTGTTTTTGTTTAAATGTTTTTTTGATCGAGTTGGGCTATTTCGGTTGATATTTTATAGTGTGTCTTTTTATGTTGTAATGTTACACTGCTGTCTCGGGTTGCGGTTGGGGTGGCGCCTGTTGGAACGTTTGAATCCGCTGCGTTTTAATGCGCTTGTCCTGGGTCGGGGCCAGTTGTTCAGTGGTTGTCGTTTGTTGGTGTGGTTCATAAGTGTTATCGTTTTTTATGTAGATTGGACCGTTGGTTTTCCTAGTTGGTTTGTTTACACTGGTCATGTTGGGCCCTTTGTGGTTTGCTGTTCGGTGTGAACCAAGGCTCAGTGTTGGGGTCCTTGCTTTGGCCTGTAGTTATTAACTTTTGATGCATTGTGGCTTGGATGGAGAGTTGTCTCATTGGCACTCATACCACATCTTCTTATTTATATTTACTGTTTTATTCTTTTGACAATGTTTATCGCAATTATCCCACTTTATTTAAAATGAGCAAATCCGATATCGAAAAAGATCAAATTAATTGGATGCAATAAAGAATGTCCAAACACACCTAGGAACATCTTTTTATAAGGATCATACGTCAGGGTTTCAGTAAATTGCACATGTACAAACAACAACTAAAACAAGACGATGACATATTGCAGCTGCTAGCTTCTATGTCAATTGTTTTTTGGTGGAAAGTTGTCTCATTGGCAATTATACTACATTGATATTTTCAAAAGTAACACCTTCGTATTGGATCAATAACGTACGATTTTAGCGAATTTGCAATAAACTTATCATTAATCAGCAATAAATATCTCAGTTAAACAGCTTTCATAATAAATAGATTGTTTAAGATTCAGTACACATTATATCATTTATAAATTGTTTGAAAGTGAACATTGTTTTATTAGACACTTAAATAAAAGATGATGGACACAAACAACGACACAAAACAAGTGGGATTCAAATGTTTTTGTTACATTTAGGTTTTTGACACTGTCCTTTTTTAAATTATTCTATTCCATGCTCACTCTATGTAGAAATAAGAAGATGTAGTATGAGTGCAATGACACAACTCTCCACCCAAGTCACAATGTGTAAAAAGTGAACAATTATAGGTCAAAGTACGGCCTTCAACACGGAGCCTTGGCTCACACTGAACTTCAATCTATAAAGGGCCCCAAAATGACTAGTGTAAAACAATTTAAACAGGAAAACCAACGATCTAATCTATATAAAAAACCAGAAACACTGATGAACCACATCAACAAACGACAACCAGTGAACAACAGGCTCCTGACTTGGGACAGGTGTAAACAAATGCAGCGGGTTTAAACGTTGTAACAGGCGCCAACCTTCACCCTAACCTGAAACAGTAGTGTAACATTACAACATAGAAAGACACACAATAAAATGTCAATTGAAATGGCTTAACGCGATCAAAAAGACATATTAACAAAAACTAGTAAACACACAGTAAACGAATGAATTTGAGCTATGACACAATATAAATACGGGGACAATATTAATTAAAAAAAAGGGTGGGATGTAAAACAATGTCAAAAAGACAACTCTAACCTGGGACAAGATGACGTTAAATAAAATAACGTACACAGGTAAATTTAAATATAATAATTTTGTTGTTAGGAATACGGAAATATTTTTTACAAAATAAATAAATTTGTTGTTTATAGTACGAGTACAGACGTGAATATTTATAATCATACTGAATACTTTTCAAAGGTGGTACTTAATAAAAATAGTGAGACGAGATATAATGGAATAACAAAAATGCATTACAAATTGTGTCAACAGGTCAAATTAACATGAAAGTACGATTTGAGAGTTCTCGCAGTTACTGAAAGCTAGTTAAAAGACAAAAACAATTAATAATAAAAAAAAACATGCATCAGAGACTAAAATCAATTAAAACACATCCCAGGGATTATGTGTTTATACTAAAACGCAATGTGTACATGAAATAGAATGTGAATTGTATTTATTTCTTGTCAACATTAAATTATCTCTGAAATAATGTTGAATTGTATGTTTATTTAAAGGAAGAAATAAACTTATTCTCAGATAATGCAAAATCCAATAATATTACCAGAAACGTTTGGCAAGCAAGATTAAAAATCAGAAAAATCGAACTAAAGGGCAAAAACAAATAATTCCGCAGACACAATATTCATTTTCATATGCAGCTAGGCCGGCATATTTTTTTAGCGCTTAAATTTACCTTCTTTTTTTATGAGAACTATTATCTGCGTTGTTTGGGTAAGAAAAGCATGAACAATTTACATCGGTGTTATCTCGTTATTTCAAAATAAGAATCAATGCGTTGTTTTAATGTAATCGCCACAAAGCACGCTCTTACATGGTAGACAGGCGTATAAATCAGGCAGCTAGTACTCTCTTTTAAATTGTTTTGCATTTTATTATCCTGCGAGCCTTTTATTCTTTTCTGTAAGGTTTTTTTTTAAACATAAAGTTGCTTACAAACTTGCCAGTTGGTAGTTGGTGGATAGTTTAATATCAGTTGTATCATTGGCAATATGTATAGTTATTTGTTTTTAAGTATCCCTCCTTTAGAAAAAAAATGCAGATTGTGATCATTTTATAGACCCTGAAAAGAAAATAGATTAAGTTTGCATTTTAATGATAATTATAAATGTTAAAACAAATAAAGATCTTATTGTGTAGTTAACTTTGATGCCATATTCCGCATTCCGACGTTACGTTATAATGTATACTATATGTATATATTTAATCAGACGAAACTGCTATTTACTATGTTATACCTACAATGAATACAGTTTTGTCCTCCTCGTCCAGTAACACATCCCTTAGTACATACACCTGTATACGGTTGACATTTACCCTCATGACAGAATTGGGGATCACAACCCCAAACACACGAGCCATTTCCAGGATAACACTCTTGGTTGATACATTTAACCGGACAGGAATGTATACAGTTTATTCCCCAAGTATTTTTCCAGCAACCTAATAATCAAAAATATGTATTTTAAGATTTTTTTGGATCGTACAGCAATTCTAACGTACATCAGGTAATTATTCATCTGAAAGTTTCGGTTTTGAGATTTCTTTGTGAAAAACAATTCAAAGTAGAGATTCTGCTGAACCAAATTCATATTAAGTACATTCGTATCTTTTTTATATTAAATAAAATGAATATTTAACTATTTTTTACACGAAATTTGATTCATGCATTAGATTCAATTCGATGGTTGATGTTTGATACAACTTGTAGAATTTGAATATCAAAGTGTCAGAATATTGCAGTTATGCTACATTATAAGTTGGTAGCGTTCGTGTTGCTCAGTCTTTAGTTTTTATGTTGTGTTTTGTATACTGTGGTATGGTTGGGTTTTTTTTTACTTCCTATGGTAATGAGAGTTTGTTTTCGACTTTGGTATATTTCGCCTATCAGTTGTTTCAATAAGTTAACATACATCCATATTTACAATAAGTGCTCCTATAAGAAATAATTCCTTCATGTCATGCTGTATGCTTATGCACCTGAGATCACCCCCCAGTTTTTGGTGGGTTTCGTGTTGCTTAGTCTTTAGTTTTCTATGTTGTGTCATCTGTGCTATTATTTGTCTGTTTGTCGTTTTATTTTTGGCCATGGTGTTGTCAGTTTGTTTTCGATCTGTAAGATTGACTGTCCCTCTGGTATCTTTCGTCCCTCTTTTTTAACATGGGTAGCCATTACATTTTCGATATTTTATACCGAGCGTTAGCAGGGTAAATGTATGATGTTTTAATAACTACATGTATAATAAATGTTTAAGTACTAAGCATTTAAATTATATATATATATTATTTATATAATGAGGGAAAAGTGTATGCTGGAGAATGAAAGTAAAATAAAGTAAACCCAGATAAATAAATAAATAAATAAAACTGAATTATATAGCATTGCTTAAGTTTTGAGACAAAAATAGGTGACGTAAGATTAAGTAATAAATATTTTCGTCTTTTGGTAATAATCAGGTTAAACTTAAGTAAATACAATTTCTAGAATTCTTTTGATCTTAGCTTTAAATGTGACGTTGAGAAATCAATTAAATAAACTGTCATCTTTTAAAAGAATAGAAATGTATGTATTTTGCCGTAGGAAAATGATCCTAAAGCGTTCCTATTGTCCACTAAAATAATCCTGTAAATTAAGTAAAGATTTTGATAATCCATTAATTGCTTTTACATAACTAAATAAAATATACGTCAGTCATATAAATCTTTTACATTAAAAAAGAATAGTTGACCAATGAAAAATAACTTTAGAAAATTTAAAATTGACGCTGAAATTTCATAGGTGAATAAAATAGTTCCAATCAGCCCGTGATGTTGGGTTTAAAAAGGGAAGACCGCAAACTCCCAACATCACATATCACACTTTAATATAGATTGCTGTTTGGAATAAACAATTAAAACAACATTGTATTTTGTTTTCCAGGTATTTAAATGGTTTAAATTTAAACTATTATAAATTGAAATTTAGAGTAAGAATTTATCTTCTGATTTAATAACTTAAGTTTAATATTTAAAACTTCAGTTAAATTTATGAAAGAGAATTTCATTAACATAAATAAGTTAAAATAAAGTTTCCTATTTTAATAAGTTGATCACATATCACACTTTAATTTAGATTGCTGTTTGGAATAAACAATTAAAACAACATTGTCTTTTATTCACCATCGCCAGGCCTCGAAAGAACAAGTGTCCGAGAAGATGGACACCTCTACAGAAGGAGTTTCTTAGATGAGAAAGGAGTGAGCTAGAATCCCCGAAAAATGCTAGATTCCCTAGACAGATTCCCCAAAAGAAAATAGAATACCAAAAATACAATAAAACCTAAGAATCCCCAAATGCGGAAGATGACCGACCCCTGTTATTTAGTTTAAATCTTAACGTTTTGGAGGGAAAGGGGGGACAACTCGATAGAGCAGCGATCCCTCCCCCTTTTCCTGCATAACATTAGGACGAAAATGAAAATAACGAGAATGTAAACAGTAAGGCCGTATTCACACCAAACGCTACGTACAATTAGTTTCATGTAACATGTGTATTGAACTTTGGTTTCACATTAAATTTGTTCTCATCTGTACATTAGTTTTAATTACCTATTCATGAAAATTGTTCACATCATTAAACAACATGTACACGTAATTTACATGTAGATTACAAAGAATTGAATTAAAATTTTTAGTTAGAAGTAGACCAATTCATATATTTTTGAATTTTTCTATTTTTTTTTTTTTTTTTTGGTTTATTATCGGGAGGGGTTTAAATTCTATCTTTTTTTAAGAAAAAAAATATATTTGATCCAGGAGGGAAGTGACAAAGATTGTTTGATTTCTTGAAAATGAAGGGCAGAGGGATTCAACATGAAGTTTAAAAAATGTTCCTTTTAGTTATTGAAAAAAAAATGTGTTTTTTTTGGGGTTTTTTTTGGGTTTTTTTTTTTATTAAAGTAATAAAAAAAATTGTTTGTCCCACAATGATGAATGGTTGGTACCTTAAGAAAATTGTTCTATTGATTTGGAGAACTTTGAGAGTTCTAAAGATGTCACTATTACGTTTGCTTAAACAGCGTAACAATAGGCGAAAAAAGGATTTTGAAAATTATTGATTGATTGATTGTTGATTGTTTAACGTCCAGTGGGAAGTATGTTATGCATATTCAGGACTAGAACAAATTCACAACAAATACAATTTTAGGTAGGTACTGTAATAGAGGCCGTCCGAGATGAAGATGGACGTGACTGAGTACTTGTACATCCTGCACAGCCAAACGGTTGCCCTTTGACAAGGGTTTTACGGCCGATCGGAAGAAGATCTAAGTGACCATATTTCTATTCCCCAGTCATACATAGGGTGATTTTGGAAATGAAAAGTCTGAACTGGTACTTACTGTAAATATTACCTTGTCCACGACATGATGAAAATGAATATTTTGTCCTACAAAATGCAGGAATTTGCAAGAAAAAGTTGTGTACAAAAAGTGAGAATAATTTTCGGGCTAAATAAATAAGCCGTACTGTCAACCGGTGTAAAATGAATATTCTATCAGCCAATAATCCCCCTTCCACTAACAATCAAATGGTCCACTAAGGCTATTAAATTTAATCATGTTTTTAACGGAGCAATTTTTGAGTTTTTGTCATATAAATAGGAAAATGACTTAAGTCATAGTATTATTATAATCATATTTATTCAGTATATGTAATTTCCTTAAATATTCATAATAAAATCCACGTTCTTAATATCTTGTTTTATGAACACTTAACCCACACAAGATCTACATTGACTATCGACTGCATGTGGTTAAAACCTGTTTTAAACTACATGACTTTGTAAACATTGATTTTTATCAATGGGAACGTATTGAGTTTAGTGTAAGTGTTACACCGCACTGAGTTAAGCGCAATGTGAACACGGCCTAAGTTTGTATTCATGTGTAAAACATAATTTATGTTGTGCTAATTAGTTTGTTTACAAAGCAAAAATAGGACGTCATAATATGATTGCATCAATGTTGCAAAGGACTAAAGCCAGTAATCCCAATAAACAGCCCTGTAAAAAGTTGTATTTTTTAAAACTTCAATTGTTTGAGTAAATCTACTGGGAATGTATTGCTAAATGTATTATGTTTCAAAGTACAATAAGAAAGACATGTATATCTGCTTCATGTAATATAAAAATATCAGCTTGTAATACAAAATAGATTCATTTTAATCCATTTTTTCTAGAAATTCAGCATATTTCATGATTTTATATGTGTCGACATCCCTCGCCGATAGAAATTTTGATTGTAAAGTAGAGAATATGATAGATTTAAAATATCAAAAGGTTTTCTGTTAATTTTTCGGAAAATTGTCACAGTGTTAAAGTTTGCCAAATTAGACAAACACATCAGGCGTTAACAAATTTACCTTCGTTTATGACGAAACAAATACATTACTAATGACGCAATTGGTGAAAGTCTTTTTTAACTGAAACATGTGGTCATTTTAACATTTTAATGAAATTTTCACAAAACAATCACTGTTAAAAGTAAATGGAATTTTTAGGGTCAAAATTAAGAGTTAATTAACCAACTCCTCTTTGTAAATGTATTCTTATAATATGAAATATATGAGCTCCACCCACTATTATCAGCACCATTTATGCACATTGTACGTGTCCTTGAGGCACTAAATTATATTTATTTCTATTTAACAATTATGACCGATAATTATTGAAAATATTTTATGAGTTATCGGCTTTGATATCGACATCGTCGTGCAAATTTTAAGTATTTCGCGAAATAATTGATTTCCGCAATCTTTTCAAATTGTGATCGTCACTTGCTTTCATTTCTACTCGATTAAAAAAACTATTTTTAATTGCATAATAAAATCTAAACTTTATTCAAAGCTGCACAGACTTAAGTGGGACACAGTTGAAAACACATTTTGAAAAAAGTACATATACAAACTAAATGAATTAATGAGTCTGTTGTTTAACTTCTAATAAAATTTCAATTTAGTCCTTCTAATATTTTTTTCTTTAAATCAATACCTGTAAAAGCACAGCGTCTTATTCGGCTTAAATTTTTACTCGAACCTTTAATTCAAGAATTGCTGATAAATGTCCATTTGACGAAAATTATTTAAACAGTAAATGCTTTTTAAATTTGTTTTCGTTTTAGCCTATTACAATAACTATCATGGTCTTGCTTTTACTCTTATCAGTCCAAATATATCGTCGTTTATTTAGCATAATCAAATGATATAGAGAGACTCAAAGAAAAGGATTCATTCTAGGTTTTATAGTTATTCTATTGATTGTAAGTGCTATTATATTGTTGGCTATACATATTATCACCTCTGGATTTTTATCTCTAGCTTATCATGACTGGTGATTATATGTACTATGTTATAACCTGTAGAATTATCATCGATCATCACGGACAAAACTTAGAATCTTTATTGAAA